ATATATATATATATATACATATATATATATACATATATATATATAATATCGCACCACTCGATGCATTTGGAGCTCTGATTTCACAGAATGGATCGCACTGCTGTACACCTGGAGGATTGCGGCCTATTCAATAAGAATTCCGTCAAGTGCACTGTAGTTATCGGACGTATCAAACGGTTACCTTGGTACGAGCGATGCGTCGAGTGCTCGCCTCACTCTCGTTCCCGTCTTTTTCCTGCCGACAGATCACTTGACTTAACCACTGCACAATGTGTTATTTGTGAGATGTGCGGAAGAGTCATGGGGAACGTGAGACGTGATCCAGTGGTAAGAACTCCATTTGCCATTCAGCGATAGAAATACAATAAAAATGGATGAAGCTATGAACTCCGCGGAAGAGATGCCAAGCAGTGGAATCGATTTCAAGCCACAGCGTTTTCAATTCATAGACAGTATGAATAAAAAATACTGTTGACTAAGGCTTTCCGTCTCCGAACTGTTCGAAGTGGGTACATTTATCCCGCACATCTCCTTGCCCACAACTTATAAAATTGGTGTGTATTTCTTTAAAGTTTAGAAGAGGTCTAATAGTAATGTCAGCCGAAAGACAATAATTGTCTGCGTTTATGGCTCCTCTTAGTGTGCCATGAAGAGGCTAGGAATACCTACAAAATCTCCGGACAGGCCACCAATCAGAGAGATATGATCGGCGTCGCATAGAAATCCGCTATTATCCAAACATGCGTCTCCGCTAATTCCACTGTTTGCAGTCCAGTTCGTATCAATGCAGCGCACCTGTTACTGTGCTGTGACGCAATGCATTATTCTTACAACATTACAATTAGTGACCTCATATCGGCTGGTCCTCTCGCTGCCATTACAGTGGTTTTCATTCGTTTGCGAAGCTCATCACCTTTAGATAACTCTTGAAAAATTTTCAATATGTAGTAAGAAACAAGGACGGTGTACAAGACAACTAATCTTGTGTTACAACTACTGAAGTAATTTTGTCCATCGCTGCTAGTTGCCAGTAACCCCCATTTTGCCGATTAAAACCGAGCCCGTGTTATACACACTGACTGCGAGGCAATGTGGATGTCCCTAACTAACACTTGTTTTCTGTAGTGAAATCCAGAGTGCTTGAACAAGAACACGTAAAGGGTGCTTCTTAGTCGGTGCACAGTTGTTTCAGTGATGTTCGCGACCCAACATCATGGTTACCGCTTCTCGTAATTGGGTGCGAATCCATTATAAGAAGTGCCCTTGACAATACACACTCATGCACACCTCTTACCAGCGACAGTCACCTTACTTCCATCAAGAAATTACCGTTGACAGTGATAAATTAAGTCGTGCACACAAAAGCAAATCGAAAGCAGTAAGGTTATAGTGAAAAAATCAGCTTTGAAATAAAATGAATGAAAGTGAGAGGATCGGCAGAAAATTGACCAACGGGGTCAGTAGTGGCCTGTGCTAACGTGAACACGCACCGTTCCATTATGTTCTCTGAACTTAAAAGAATATGGATAAATGTCTAAATGGATAAATGTCTAAATGGATAAATGGATAAATGCTTCATAGCCAAATGTATTCACTTGGAGAGTATAGGTTTCCATCAACGCTTTAGTGTTTGTGATTTCAAATAAATGTTATCAAAAGTGAATGGAACCCTTCCTATTTCAAGACCTTCAAAAATGACGAAGATATCCGTTGTAATCATCAGAGTATTTTAGAAAAGCGCGGGAAGTTCGAGGCAAAATATTTTAACAATAGAAAGAGAGTAGGCGGAAAGTTATGAGCACCTAAGTAAGATGTCTGCGAAAAAGGTTGGTAACTATAGGTATTTGCGAAAATTCTTTTTACACTTCCCATTCCTATGCATTTCTCATCGGTCACCATTGCCTGAGAAGCAACACTATAGAAGGCAATCACGATGCCAGTTGGTATACGGTAGGTGGAGCAGCGAAATGCCGAGAAGAAATTTAATTGATACCGTAATCAATCGCAGCTTTGCTTCTCATGCAAAGAGGCTTCTTCCGCGCTCCATTTAGATGGCGGCAATGCGTGCGAATTTATGATGAGCGATTATTCTAATGCGTCGAGAGCTCTAGCTACTCGAATGCCGTGGGGCATGAAACCGAAGGTCGAGAAGCTCGTTCAGAGACTTCAGATTTCGCTCGACTATCCTATGCGAAAATCCGGAAACGAAAGTGTTCATGTAGCGCTAGAGAAAAGAAAACCTTCCTGCTTCTTTAACACAGAGCAAGCATTACAGTTTTCCTAAGAATACATGCTAGAATTTCCTGTTCCGATACCTTGTAAAGTAGCGTGGGAAACACAATGACTAGAGATACTGTGAAATATATCTGTCGTCGCTGGTCCGGGCCAACTAAGTCTTTGATCGCTACGGGTCGCCAAATTGGTGCTAAACTTGTCTAAGAGCTTCTTCAATGCGAAGAAGGCAAGTTTCTATAATAAAGGTTTTGGGAAGTTCTAGTGGAGATGTCCTGGAATTCCAGGGAGAATTCAACGACGTTAATGACGGGGATAAAATATACAGTTAGGATCCGAACCCACATGTTCATCAGGAGATCAGAACACCTTCGATAATGAATGACGACGAACCGAGAATAAAGCAAGTGGTGGAATCCGCACAGATTGTTAAAAGTAGTCATATAAAAACGGAATAAAGTAACCAAATGTCTTAGAAATATTCAAGCACCATTTTTGTGGAAAATTAGGATTAATAGTTCAATTTCTCATGAGTCTGAAAAGGAGATGATTTATTGGAATTAACGTGAAAACTCTACCTTGACAAAATAAAGGCCGTCTCGCAATCTCATTTATGTTTAATAGGCATTTCGTGGGCAATAGAGTTGTCAAGAAAAAGTGCTGCAAAAGAAAAACTTCGGCTGCTCACTTTTCCCACACGTGAATAGTTCCCTCTCACACTTTGTGGCTTTCCAAACCGACCCATAAGTCACTTGACGTGTTAAATTTGCGAAATTATGAAATGTTAGGTTTTTACGGAATCAATGTCGGACTTGTCACTTCATTTTACTTGTAGATGTTTTAGAAATAGTTCTTCTTCAAAAGCTCTATTGGTATAAATATCACTGTTGCACAGTTAATTTTAGGTATGTTCACTCCGTATGACTGAATTAGAATATAATTTTTTCGTTTCATGTGTATATGTATGCCTCCTTCGAGAGATGGTTAGCCGAATGCTTATCAACCTCATGTAAGCTTGCCAAAGGAAGAATACATGTTGATTAGTCATACCGAGGTTAAGGAAAGTCTGTTTTATATATAATTTTTCTCTTTTGTAGAAATTTGAGAGTACAGAATTTTAGAGGACCAAACAAAAACTTTTACAAAGCCTGCGTCTATGAATCGAACTCGGGCGCGGTACAGCCAAACGGCTTGAAACAACACATGCATACAAGGTCAAGAAAGTGTTATCGAAGGCACAGCGCAACCGTTGGTTCCGAAAATTTCGTCGCACTGAACTTGTCCTTGAGGATGACGATGGTTGCTGGTGTCCTTCCGCTACTGAAGATAGTGATTTGAGAAGTTTTCTGGAAGAAATAGAAGCGCAACTTTCTAGTGAACTGGCAGAAGAGCTCATCTTACGGCTCTCAACTGCTTTAAAACACTTAAGCAAGTTGAAAGTTAAGGAAATTCGACAAACCGATGTTGCTCGAATTGAAAGGCAATCAAATAAAACATCGTTTGAGTTATCGCCTTCTTCGGCGCGATGAGGGCGGCCGACGTCTAAACTGTACTGTGATGTTAACAAGAAATGTGACAACCGAGGGCGATAGACTCAGTGCCCTGGACAAAGATAAAACTCCACCGTACTATCCAAAGCTGAAAGATGACCAAAATAAGGTCATGCTGTCCGTTGGGTGATGTGAAATTGGTTTGATCCTTCACAGTTGCCGCAGGTCGGGTGAAGAGATTACGATAAAGTGCATCCAGAAAATCGACGAGACGCACCAGAAAATTCTACGGCTGTGCCCCTTACTGATCAACAGAAAGTGACTAATCCATCTCCACTATAGTTCACGGCCTCAGGTCGCACCACGACACTACAAAACATGGACGAACTGAGCTACAAAACCCTGTCCCACCCAGCAGCAACCCTGCCAGACCTCTCGCCTATAGAATACTTCCCCTCCAAGCATTTCGATAACTTCCTCTGCGAAAAATCCTTCAAAAGCTAAGCAGAAAGCGACAGAGGGAGTATTCTCACACCTTAGGCGGCTTCCTCGCACTCAAAAATTCAGAAATTTATGTCGCTGCCATGAATAAACATGTCTCCAGTTGGCGGACATGCCTAGATCTGCATTCTTTCTATTTAAATCGAAAAAAATTGTTCATAGCTGAGATATGCCTCTTTGGAAATACAGGGCAAAATTGGACATCAATTTTCGGAGGAATGAATACACCTCGTAGGGTCGAGAAAATCGTAAACTTGTCGTTGAAGAATAGGAAACTTTAGTGATGCAGGAACAAATTTGTTTGAATAGTTTCTATTGCGATTCATACAATTCACAGCCAATATTTTTCATCAAATGCATTGTACTCAATGCACATGAAGCGTTGGATGTCAACTAGCTTTCCTAATGATCGATGGCTTCCAAAATTGGACCAAATTTTCTCCTTCTGTGCTACAAGAAGAAACATGCGGAAAGCGTAGTTATGTTTAAAAAATTCTTGTAGGAGCTATTCTCTAACGATTATTTCTATCTTCAGAAAAAAGGACAATCAAGGAAGAATCGTCACTTTTCAAGGAATGAATTCTATGACTTTTTCTTATTCTAAAATTTGCATAATGCGATTTCAATATACTACACAAGAAATTTGTCACATGTGCGCTAGTAGATTTCATGAAGCCGCTCCCGCTCCATTAGCTCCTGCTCTCGGGCGTGTTGATACTAAAAAATTCAAATATGGTTGCAACCAATTTGTGAAAAACATCTTTGCTTTGCATTGATCCCATACCTGAAAAAAAGAAATGGTAACAGGATGACCCATTGTAAAATTTCGAACATGCCACATGTTGCTTAATAACTCAAAAGATCGACTTTCAATAAACCTCGGCGTAGTAGTCGACATATCTATATATACGTTCTTACGAACTACCCCCTCTTTATCCAACGCGAGGTTGGTATGACGGGATGATCATTCCTTGTGAACAACATACGGGTGGTCCAACGACAAGGCTCTGAGAAGGCGATGTTGCCCAATCTTCAGCTATTAAACAGAGACAACAACAACAACAATAAGAGGGTGCGTCTCGCACAGTGGTTGGAGGAGCCACTGCGACACACGCGTGGAGTCGATCCCCGCGCCCATGGCCCATCAAGCCTTCCATCCCTCCAAGGTCGCCAAATTGGTACCAGATTTGTTTGCAAGACAGCAGCACTGGCTAGATACATCGGTAGGCCACCGCGAGTCATTGTAAATGGCAGATATGCATTCAATCACCTCCAACGATACATAATGAAGTCGAATGCATGGCGCACTTCTAAGGGATTGATCAAGGTCGAGAGATTCAGTCTTTTATCCTTTATAGCAACCTCGCGTCGGCTAAGAAGAAGGCAGTTCGTAAGAACATATGTGCAGATATATCACATATTCCGTCGAAGTAACATCGCGTCACTTTCGAAGAACTAGTAAGTCATATTGTTCTTAAGGATAGAAATTCTAGGGCTCATGTGACACCAACGTTTTCGTCCACATAAATATATATTTGTATATTCATATATACATACATATGTATACATGTATATATAAGAATAGACCGAGTGCTCTACATTTAAGAAAATATTTCAGGATAGAACCAATTCCGTTAACCAATCATGTACCTTGCTTAGAAAATTGAACTCCGAATGTGCATAATAGTTGATGTCACCGTGATCCATATGTGGGTCGTCCACTTGGTTTATTACTCGGATTTGCAGGATTAATCCTAAAGAAAGGAGTTCAGGTTCGTGAGATGTTTGTCATAAGCCTTCTAAAGTAAGTGAATGAGAAGTAATAAGGCTACAATGGGATTGAATACGTGGGAGTTTATTACGAATTTTTTAGACCACAAGCTTAGTTGAGACTATTCCGAGTCAGTCAACATCAACTAATAGACGAAAGGTATTCTACTTCAACACATCTCGCTTTACGCTTCAACTCATCATTTATCAAAGTGCACAAGCAATCAATTAAAAGACATTTAACTAAATATTGAAGTTTATATTACCAGTTATTAGTCCGCCAACCACTGCCGAAGCGAGAGCTGTGCCCATTCCGGCCAGCTGGTACAGAGCCTGTGTCTCACGATTTCTGTCTCCTTTCATCGGCCCACCTTCGAAGTACGGATAGATATGATAGAGTCTTAAAAACTTCGTGATCACAACTACACAGAATCTGTGAAGTGGAAGAAATTAACCTACGTTTTACCATAGCTTTCTGGTTCATATCCGAGTGCGAAAATAATGCTGAATATCTGCAAAGCACGGAAGCTCAGTCCCACCTATTTGCCAACAAACAATGAAAGTATTTCCCAGGAAGGACACTGCTTTTGTAGAGTAATATAGATGATGTCAGCCTATCTACTCTTGGCATGTTATACAGCTATATCGACACGGTAGTAATAATTAACGAAGTTATGAATGAACCGCCTCCAATGTGCAACTTTCTACATTGATTCGCTCCCATGATTTTGCGGATCCACCAAATTTTCCTCTTTTTTCGGAGTGAAAACGTTTCCGGCATATGAGAGTGTTGGTCTTAGAAAAACTTATTTCTTAATATTAGTTCAGTTCCTCCTCCCAAAGGATTATCGCCTCATCGTGGGTGGAATGTGTTCCTGGGTGTCGGACTGCGATGTACAGCTTCATTCCTTGGCAGAATCTCCCAAAGTGAGAAGGAGTCCGGTGTTCCCATCAAGAAACCTAGCTAAGAGTAAACCGATACTAGGATCCACCACCGTATTGGTATCGAAGTCACATAGTGGTAAATCTCCCTCTGATTCACATGGGCTGCGACTACCTGTCGTGGTGACGAACTGGGGCAGACTTTGGCCAGCCCGTCCTCGGGATTCCAGGGAGTCACCGTGGCTTAATCAGCAAATCTCCGAAAAGTGGTGATTATGCTGGAGCCCGCACAACTAGTGATGATGGGCCGTTCAAGTATCAAGTAAGTAAGTTAAGTTCCTATGGAGAACAGCCCACAACTCAAGATTGCAATCGGTTAAAAATATGAATAAAGTATGAGAAAGTCCCATGTTGCAGTCGAGAAAGGTTTTTTCTTTGTAGAAATTTTGCACCATCACTAAAATGTTCCAAGGTTTTCGATACAGACAACGCTTTTTTTGAAAGAGAAACGTGGGATCGGACAAAACGTGTATTTTTACTTTTGAGACAAAGCATAAAGAGAGTTTCGTGGAAAGTTTTAAAAAATAGTCTACAAGGGGTTCATGGAATAAATTATGGCTCGAAGATTGATCCCTGTATTCTCTATGAGTGGATGATCTTCGTGCTATAAAAACCATAACTAACACCAGCGAGTATTCCGGGGATGCCATGAAGATTATGAACACCGCATGTGTCAAATAGCTTGAAGCGTTTCTCCAGCTTCGGCTGAAAAGAAGAAACACTTGGGAACCTCGCTTAGTAATGACAGTAATAATCTATGCTAAATAAATCATACTGACACTGAGCCAGGCATGACCGATGACGGAAACGAAGCTCGCGCAAATGCCCACAGCCACTGCGTGCGATGGGTAGAGAACAGCATTTGCAGCAGACCCTGAATTCATTTTGTCCATTGTAGAATAAAGGATAGAAAAAAACAACTTTCAAAACCCATCATTTTCTTTTTCAGCAATCGCGAGGTTGTTAACGGCATACGTTTACTTCCATACAATAAAACATACAACACAACTGTAGCTGACGTTTTGGCAGAATTGCCATCTTGCAGAAAGCAAGGTCAGTCGTCAATCATATGCGACTCTGAGCTGCTGTTCTTCTTCGGTGGAAGACAGGTGAAAAAAAGCGGCTCTGAAAAAGGCGATACTGCCGAAACGTCAGCTAGTGTTGTATTGTATTCTGCTTTCTATGGAAGTAAATGTGTGCTGTTTAAAAACCTCGCGATTGCTGAACAAGAAAACGAAGCATTCATATTCCAATGCCGAGGTTAATAGAAAGTCGTTGCTGGAAACTATTCGTCATTAATCTCTTCATCATTCCTTGGTTCCATACCAAAAAGTGGGGCAGAGGGCAGTTCTAGTGGTGCTCGTTCATTACTACCAAGGCGCAGGTGCGACCCGATCGAGTCTCTCTTAGCAATCCTCCCATCCTTCCTGAGTCGAGAAATTACTTCCAGAATTGTCTTGGACCAACCCATACCGTATATCAAGTAATGAAAAAAGCTTATAAAGAAGAAGAAAAAGTTGAACTTTGTATATGAATCATATTGAAACTCCTCAAGCGGCAGTCGAACCTATAGTCGAAAGTTCGAGGACCCTCATGAGTGATGGATGCAGGGAAAAGAAAAGAATACAAGTGCTGGGACCCGCACAAAAAGTGACGACTGATAATGTTAAAAAAATGCGAAAAAGTGGATCCCATATTCTCACATTGAGTCTCTATGGACAGACGTGGAACGATTTGGTATCTTCAAAAAAATTGAATGAATGGTTCGCATATAATTGAAAAGCTCACCGATAGCGACACCACCAGAAAGAGTTGAACTTTGTATATGTATCATGTTGAATCGGCCCAGGTTATCCACGAAGGAACTCAGGATAAACGTTGTCACCGTGCCGCTGGCCATTGCTAGGTAGGTGTTCATAATGGCACGATGGCGTGCATCTTCTGTAAGGAAAACATGTCAAAAATAAATAAGGAAGAGAAGAAAAAATAATGTGACAGAAAGCAATCAATCAACGCAGCAAGTACTGACGCTTATACAGTAGAGGTCAGAGTTTTCAGAAGGAACTCTCAGTATACGTAATGTTTTCTCTGCAACGATATCAGAAGGTACAGTCCAAGTAAACATAGATTTTCATGGAAGTAGCGCATCGGTCCGATACAACAAAATTTATCTAAGTAAATGTATGTGTATGTGTGGTTATGCTTCCATGGAGAGGTCCCAATTTATTGAAACCTTGTTATAGTTTCATTATGTTACTTCACTTTCCATTAAAATTCTAATTGAAATGTCCTCACTCTCTTGCTTATCGAATATACAAACCTGGCTCCTGGACTGCTGCATTGAATGATGGAAAAAACACCCAAAGCAACAAAGTTCCTGAAATCTCTACATCCTTAGAAAGAAAAGGGAAACACTAGGGAAAATTCAATAATAAAAGCATTGACTCTATGTAATGAGCGAACAATGAAATCAAAAATAAAACGGACAAAAAATAAAGTAAGAAAATAAAGTTCCCATTCATAGAATACTTTTGGTAAAAGGACAACTCATTTATACATACCAATCATGGAGAACAAATCTGAGTGATGGATCGACCCCTGTTCGTCCATTTCCATAACGTTCTTCTTTTGCCCAACTAGAGCTGCTGCCAAACCGAAGTATGCACCGAAAGCATGCACGACGAGCGAGCGACCGCCATCGTTCACCTGAACCTCGAAGATTTCGGATGCAACGATCCCAGAAGGAAAAGAACAAAGGGTTTGTTTCCATTTCATCGGTTACCGAACTTTACTTGAATGCATGGTGATCTTATAGCACACTGTAATGGAACACCGTACAATCAATAGGATAGCCTTGACCACGATCACCTAATTTCAGCGTTTGCAGAGGCCAAATAATTAACAGTAGGTTTTAAATACCAAAAATGAACCGATGACCAGTCATTCTCAGACGGCCTTCAAAAACTGTTTTTTGTACTTCTTTAGATAACCCAATATTAAACGTTGAATCTCAGGATCTCAACACCTCTTGGATTCGATCCGTTTTCCAAGCACCCATCATCCACGATGGTTTTCGTATCACCACGTAGGTTCACCCGTTGCTTGAGGACTTTCCTCTTTATAACGGATCTCGCTAAATGTTGATTGAATCGAATCTCTCTGGAATCTTCAGGCAGCTCTGATTGGCCGTTCCCATGTAGAGTGAAATGAGTAGGCCACTTCTTTACAAGTTTGGTAGCAGCATCTCGACCCTAGAGGGATGAGGGCATGGGAAGTCCTGCAATGGGTCGAACTAGGACCTAAGTTGGCTGTCATCCGCCACCAACTATAGGTGTAAAATCCACATTCCTTGCTTCCACGAAATTAAAAAAACAAAATGTGCCGGCGCATCTCAATAGCAATAAAACTTTATTATTCGTCTCTGATAGTACGTATACCTCCGTCTTAATTTTGTACAGATCATGCGACTCTGGTTTTTCGATAATTTACCATAATTACAGCAGTTAAGAAATCAGAGAACTTGACAGACTTGCTGAAGAGGCATTGTGCAGTACCCTAACAACGTAAATGATTATTCTAATATTTCATCTCAATTTTAGACATATTCAATAATGAGGTCCTATAAAAAACAGGATTCACATTTTGAAACTTCTTGGATGAAGCGCAGAAGGTGCTGGCGTAAACGATAGATCAATAGATCCTGTGATGTTATCCTTTTTTATTCTATCTAAATCTGACTATTTAACCGTTTCGGCTTTCCTCGACGGAGAAAGAAAAGTGGAAAAGTACGTTCTGTGAACTCAAAACGGGCAGAATTTTACTGTTACAGAGTAAAAAAAATTTGCTTCCTGCAGGCAAAGATCTGTAGCACAACAAGTACTACTCGTCTAAAGTACTAGAGAGAACTGATTTAACTAACAAATGTTTGAAAAATGAGTTTGGAGAATTGAAATAGAACCATTCTATAAAGAGCAGTTCTCAGGCTTTTCAATTCTCGACAGATCAAAAAGCCATTTGAATGTGTCCATCAGATACAGAGATTGAGCACATGGGAAGTAAGATGTAGCATCGCGAGATATTAAGTGTTGTTCTCTGGAGAACAACGTATCTCTGAAAAATGATGTAATGGTTTTGGAGTCCACTCACATGCAATATGTTGAAGACTATGTGATCGACGAGTACTGAGATGCTGGTCTCGAAGAAGGCGAGTAACAGAAACTGCACAGGAGTCATTCGACCTAACAGCACTCCCATCGTAATCAACACCACCGCACATGAGTTGTCTGCGCACAACATCCTGAACAGCTCTTGGATTTAGTAGGGCAAATGAGAAATAACGAATGGAAAACCTGTGGGAAGCACTGTAGATAGTGTCTATTGTAAAATTTAAGCAAGATTTAACGTATTTGAAACATGTATACTTAACATCACAACACTCAACTTTATTCATAACCTAATCGCACTGTGCAATCAAAGAGTTCCTCCAAATCTACCGGACTTCAAGCCATTCAGTGGTATTAGTCGGCGGTACCACTTAACCTTATGGTTAACTTTTGGCACTTTAGATAAATTAACTTGTAAAATTTATGAATGATGCTTTTGAAGCTCATTTAAAGGTTAGATCAGGGAAAGGAATAGGACATGGTAACTGTTCGCTCAAGATTGCAACCAGTGGCAGTCTACGTAATTACAATAGTTTCCTTGCTAGTTCGAGAATTAAAGTGACGAAAAGTCATTGTCCTCACTCTGGAACTCCGAGCGTGAAAGTACCCGTAGCACTGAATTGTTTTGAAAGGAATCCACGCAACAACATCGCCCATTGAATTACAAAAGCTGACAGTAAAAGATTTACGGAAACAGCTGAGAAGCCATACCTCTGAAAGCAAGCAATGAACAAGGACGAAAATTTCATATACGTGCTCTTAGTTGATTGAACACTACATGTCAAGTGATCCACTAAATCTAAGGAAGTATATTTCAACCAAAGCAAACGTCTTCCAATTTTTCATAGGAAAAAGCCTGATTCGCTTATGGAAACGAATAGCGAAAGTGAAAAATATGCGGTAATAACCGTACAAGACTGACTAAAATTGGATAGGTGCAGCTCAGCTCGAGTCACTTACAAGGAATAGAACGAAATGTAAACCAGTTAAGACTCAGACGGCAATCACGTTTTATTTTATATCCAACAAAAAAATCTCTATCTCCAAAGAAAGTGACATGAGAGAAACAAATGTGTACCTTTAGAAACGCCATGAGAAATCCGAAGCCGACAAAGATCATCAAATGCACGTCCTGGAACACTAAATAATTTCATCTTTTTATCTTCGAACAGTCAACAGAGCCATAAAGGACTTAGTGTTAGTTATTTGAATCACTACACCCTTGATAAAAATATAGAATACTTTTAAACTTATTATTTACTGCCTACTCTTTTTAACGGCACGGTATACATTGTGAAATATAACTTCAATGATACTGAGATATTTGCAAAACTTTGGACCGCAGGTGTATGCGGTGAGGAACGAACGCGCTATTGTCCTTTCCGGGGAGTAGCGCATTCACCACCACACCATGCAGGTCTGTCTCTCATCTAGTTCTATCGATCTTTTGCCATCAGCAATCACCCGTCAGCGGGAGTGATCTGGGAGGCCCAAATCGGCAAGTTCAAATCGTGATTATAACTGCAGCCTCAGATTAACTGGGTTCGTTACCGTTTTGGGCTCCCAGATCAATAGCGCTGACGGGTGATTGCTGATGGCAAAAGATCGATAGAACTAGATGAGAGACAGGCGAAACGAAGGACCAGCGTGGTGTGGTGGTGAACGCGCTACTCCCCGGAAAGGACAATAGCGCGTTCGTTCCTCACCGTATACACCCGCGGTACGGAGTTTTGCAAATATCTCAGCATCATTGAAGTTATAGAATACTTTGTTTAAATCCATAGAAGGCATCTCTGAATATTACTTAACGCTGACTTTCTATTAGCCCCGATCAATAAGTTATTGTTTTACTAATAAGTAGACAAGACGTTCTTATTACAGTATTTGCTTCGAGATATCTAATGTTGTGGTGGATGCCCCTTTCTGTAGAGCCTGGAACGGCCAAGTTAGTGCCCGATCTACTCATTCAAACACTTCCATAACTCCAACAGAAAACCCAAAGACTAGATTCATTCGCATGACCACATAATTTACGCATCTGTGGGTATTTAGAACTAGTCGGATATTTCTGCTCCATAGATTTCCGTGAAAAATCTCCTTTTAATCAATATGGCTTACTAAGTGTAGCACTTAATGTATTTCATGATGATTGTGGTAAAAACGCTAAGATTCTCTTCCAAAAACCTAAGAGAGTAAGCAAATGTTTTGAATGACATTGTAAGTATTGTTTTCGAGTTTTCCTTGTCGCGGAATCGCGAAAGTTTTTAACAGAATACGTGTACTCTGACACATTACTATAAATAGCTCGTTCTCAGAATAACCCCCGTCGCAGCTTTTTCAGCCACCTTTCACACTTTTTCTTGTTTCGAAAATGCATTTGATGGATAGGATTTTGTATCTACCACCAGCATAACGAAGATTGTTAAGGGTCTATCCGAACATTTACACAGCAACGAAATCTTACATGGATAGTCGGTGCCACTGTAAATACGTTTACTATCGTCCAGTGGATCGATATAGCGACAAAATATCGAGAATAGGACTAGAAATATCATTTGAAAGAACAGTGCGAACAGAGAAAATTGACGTCGTTGCCAAACACTCTGTGACGTTGCTGGCATTCTGAAATGCCGTTCTGAGAAGCGTGCGCTTAATAATCTCGGATGAGAGCAAAGTACGGATGATTGATTCCGGAAGCAAGTTGAGAATAGTTCCCTGTGAAAAAAGCGGTAGGTACCGAGCATTTGTTAGCTCACTGTTTTTCTGCGTTCTCGCGTAGAAAAAGACAATCAGAAAATTACTATTGACTTAAGCCGCTTGTAAGGTCTGATTTAAGGCTACTAAATGATGCATGCAGTGCAATGGTAAAAGATGCCCTGTGCTACACACGACGTTAGTTCAACCCCGTGTCGCCAGAAAAACAACTCCTTCATCCATTTTCGCTACGCAGATTGGTAGCAGACGTGTCCGGGCGCATAAAAATACTAACTGGTATCTGATTTGATACACTGGTGCAACACCACAAGTTATTGTAAAAGGCAAATATGCATTCAAGAACCTGCAAAATGCTTGGTGAAATCGAGTGCGCGGTACGTCCCTCAGGGATGGAACAACGCCAACGTTTATCCTTTTAAGTGCTACAAATTCTGCATCTTTTCTTCCTCAACTATTGAGCTTATTTCAAACTCTGCATGACATCTTACACTACAGCTTTGAGGTCATGGTAGCAATACAGATTAGGGAAAATGGTTGAGGTTCATATATGGGCAAAAAGAAGGACTCAACGTGTGACATGAGGAACTCGTTTGATAATGTTTGACTACAAAAGAGTGTATTAGAACTGGTAAGGGAAGGGATCGATGCGCAAAGAAAGGGAGATGACGTGGGCGCGACTGGGTATCAGTGCATCCCACCTGCGCTGCACTTACGTTGTGTCTGGTTGAGTGATAACCGATCACAGCTGGGACACAACTCCTCTTTAACATCACCACATCGATTCTGCTGAATTCTAAAAATATGACGAATCTCACTTCAGCAGTGTTATCAGCGTTCAAACTTGAAAATCTCCCAGTTACAGCACTACCATATTCTTCTATAATCCACATTCTGACATTCTAACATCTCCTTGACAATCAAGACAGGCGCTTAGCACACTAATGTTGAAAAGTAGCCCAAGAGTTATCCATTCCCTCAGGCCTTCGTAGCTTTGCCACCAAAAATTCAGTACAAACCTTTCCGTAAACTATGGAAAACGAACCCACCATCTAGTAGCATCTACAATTGAGTCTCCCTACACCATTAGCACTGTTTTGCATTGATTTGAAAATGGAATAATACACTTGCATACAATCACCAAACGTCTGAGTTTAAAAAAATGCTAACTGTACAGACAGGTTTTGCTGTATCACGTGTCCTCCTAGCGACCGTATACTGATTCGGTGCGTCGCCAACAATCTTCACTCATTGCTACCAAAGAACTGCCAAAAAAGCCTACCAAAGAGGTTCTGGTCGTCGGAGGACCAACATAATTCGCATTTTTTCGTTCGAAGTTTTAATGCAGGAGTTTGCCCATTAAATTAATACTGTTTTTTTCCAGAATAATTCAAGAATTCATTAAATATCAATGCCGAGATTGAACGACGGTTGGTTTAAACAATATTGATTCGCCATGTGCTAGCCAAAAGGGTACATGTAGCGCAGTAGCCAGAAGCGCACTGTAATACAGCTGGGATCGATCCCTGCGCCGCTGACTCACCAAGCCCTCCATCTCCGGGGTCGTCAAATTGGTGCCATACTTGTCTGGGAGGATAGCAGCACTGGCTCGATACATCAGTCGGCCACCAAGAGTCATTGTAAAGGCCAGATATGCATTCAATCACCCGCAACGATGCTTAATGAAGTCGAATGCATGGAACATCCCTCAGGGATTGATAAATGCCAAGAGCATTATTTTAGCTTTATTTGCTAGCTAATTAATCCCGACTGCTGCGGAATGCATTGTCGGCAGGAGAGCAGATCAAATTGGATAGCGGCAATAGATCGATATCTCTCCTGAATGGAAAAGCACTGTGGACTGAGATTGTTCAATACGTCGTTGCTCAACATCACTAGATACGACAACGAGTAAACAAATTTCGATGATGACCAAGTGTGGGTCACCCACTCGAATCAATCCGGCTCTGAAGTCGAAGACGTCCAAACGTTAGCCGGATAAACCTTCCCATCAATCTTGTGTTAGCTCAATAATCCAAGAAAACAGTTGCCTATCGAGTCAGTCCTCCATTTCCGCTTGTAATTCACTGTTAAACAGACTCGCTAACGGCTCTTGTTCAACGATAGGCTTTGCTACGCATCACACATGCGGTTGTTTGAAATTTCGCACTACGCGGCACATTGTCTCCCCAATAGTGCTCTGTGTGTCACCGTCTTTTCATCTCAAGGTTACTCCCATGTCTCGAATGCGAAATGTAAGCACGATTCCGGACCTTGTTCTCTCCTTCGTCGTATGTTTCAATTTCTTTCAAACTCTCTAATACGTTCGCCTCCTACAACTTTTAAGCTCTCTAACCATGTTGTTCTTTAAGTCAACTTCTCGGGCAAATTTCTGCATTATAAGAACTTTCTCATTACAACATAACACGATTTCCCATGGAAGAAATTAGTGGAAGGTAATCGCACACGCATTGTCCGCATATCCTCAAGTTGACATTTAACCTAACAAAAAACTACAGTACAAAGTATATGCGATTCGTCAACTATTTATTCTTCAAAAACAAGCAGAAAAGAGAAAAACAGCGGAAAAAGCAACCAACTGGATAAAAAATAAACATAGCAGAGCAAATTACGTGAAGATATAACCAACAATATATATATATACATATATATATATATATACATATATATATATATATATATATATATATATAGAAAAAA